TCTGAAGCCCCATAGTACCAAATTTCCGGCTTGTTCGTTCTCTGGTAATAAATGCTTTGTTATGTGCGAGGCACTCTACAATCCCATCACCAGGCTTCACGCCCTCTTTCACACTTCAAAGGATGATGACAAGCTATTAGCAGTCGATTTTTTTTTTCATTTTGTTCCCCCTCCCTTTTATTCTGCTTTTTTTTTTCTTTTTTCGTTTGTTTGGTCTCGAAGGCACTTTCTATGCGATGGTGGTCATAGTTTGATATGCATAGAAATCTGATGATTTGCATATCTTACGTTACGTGCTATTTCCATTTGCATAATTTTATGGCATTGCGATTACATTGCCCAAAGTGTGTTTTTGGTTCAAAACTTTGAAATCTGATTCTTAACATTAGTTTTTTTTAAAAAAAAGAAGAGAAACTTTGCTCATTTTTGCTAGACATGTTAAAGGATGTTTTTTTCCCTTTCGAATGCACTTTGTATGATTAAGAGATGGGAAAAAAGGCACCACACTTTTGCAGAGACTAATATTTTAAGCAAATATTTTAAAAGTTCGGATGCAGTTAGACTACTTCATATTTATCAATTCTATTAATATTATTATTTTTGTCTATTAGTACAAAGCAAAATGTCTATAAATAAGTAAACAAAAGCTTTTGTCTATAAGTAAATAAAAGCTATGGAAAGAGAAAAAATAAAATCTATGGAAAGAGAAAAAATAAAAGCTATGGAAAGAGAATAAATTTTCTTCTTTTAGTTTATTTTGTTGTTTCCCGTTAATTCTGTATTAAGTTTTAAATTTGGTAGATTTTAGGAAATATTTTTGTTTCAAATTTAATATTTTTAATTTTAACATTTCAAAATTTAATGATTTTAGTAATTTCATGAAACAATTTTTCAATTAATCTAAAAACGTAATTGCCTCGTTCTAAATCTTTAGTATAACTTTTTTGAAGCTATTTAATCATCAATAATTTAAAGCATTATTTTTTTACAAGATTCATCAGCAGAAATAAATGCTTTTCTACTTTATAAAACTTTCTTCTGTAAGTTTTATATTAAGCATACATCAGGGTCACAAATTTTAATTCGATACATTTTAATATTCTTGTTTTTTAATAATTGGAAGTTTTGTACATAAAGGGAAAACTCACGTAATTTATCTTCTTTATTGAATTGTTTATTTGAAAACACAATTTACACACTTTGAAAACACACTTTACACCTTTGAAAACACACTTTGATATTACATAGATGTTTAGATGCCTAATATTTAATAACTAAAATTTAATTAGCTCATTTTGATTGGCCTACGGCAAACCTTTTAAAACTTTTGTTTCGCGAAATATGGCTCAAAGCTAACAGAATTGTAAAAATTAATAATACTGGATCAAATTAAATTCTGTAACAAAGAACTGATAACTTCACTATGCTGTACGCAAAATATTTTCAATGGCAAAGTAAACTAGACTTCGATTTGAAGTTTCCTCCTAATCATACAAAAATATCAAAGGAAAGTCAGAATAATCAAATATTTCAATATCCGAAATGCTTCTACGCAAATATATCGTATATGGCAACTCAATTCGAATCATTTCTAGCAGAAGTTTGAACTCAAATATTTTGTATCATGTTCCTTTCTTTGATTAGTTTCTTTCAAAATTAGGAAGTATGCATTCAATTTCACGCTACCAATTTATTTTAATATATCACATTCATTTCTTCCTTCTAATGGCTCTTTTATTATACAGATATTTTATACAACTTTATAATTTAATTCCAAACTAGGCTTTGTCATATTTTGCTATTCTATAATTATTTCACACAATTTCAAAAATTATTTCACACATAAAAAACGCACAATAAAATAGAAACTGTCAATGTATCAAACTAAATAAATGTAATTTAAAAAAGTTCTTAAATTACCACGAAATGAATCAATTAATTATAATTAAACATTTAATTAATTTTTTACAGCATATATTTTTTAAAGAAAAATTCAACTCTGTTCAAAATTTTAATTTTATTATGAACAACGAGCAACCATGCTTTTAACCAGAATGATTGAATGCTAATGAAGCTTTAAACGCGTGTTTTGTTTTAGCTCTGCAAAATAGAAGAAGTTCGTTTTGCAGCGTTTATCTGAATTTAATCATTTGATTTGTGCCGAGTTTTCCCTGGTTGTAGATGTTGTGTTTTTTTTTAAAACTTTTATTTCCAATTCAGGTAAATCACCTGTATTTGTATTTATTTTCTATTTATCCTAAGGTTTCATTAGTAATTTCATGTAAATCTAGAAGGCCCAAGAATTTGAGTGGACGAGTTCAGAGTTTGGTACTAAGACCAATCTGCAAAACTCCAGAAACTGTTGAACACATTTGTTTCAATGCGTGAAATATGTTGAACAAATTGCTTTCGGATATAAAGTTCTTTCTTACTCTTGGATATTTTATATGTCAGAGGATGCGTATTATAAGACCACAATGATACTTCAATTTCTACGAAAGGTCTCGTAACCCTGTAAGCTACGGGGTACTCCACTTTTTCTGTCAGGGGATTAATACTTTTTATTCACTTTTATTTCAAGTACTAGTCATACTTAAAATGTTCTAATCATCGTTCAACAATTAAAATATTATGGTCTGCTTTATCTGTTGTGTCATCTACTTCTTTCTTTTTCATATTTATTCATCTTACTTATTTTCTTTTGTTTGCCGAAAAGTATGTGCAACAATTCCTTTCTTTTAAAACTAAATTCGTGATCAACCCTTAAATTAGAAACTAATAAAATAAAAGAAGCTAGTTCCTTTATAAATGTTTAATTTTAATCTTTGCTAAGTTCTTTTATCTCCAGTATTCTAACAGCATTTTTATAAATTGAAATAAAGCAGTATCAGCGAGCATAAATCTCAAATCACCTAGTGAAGTCAAGCCAAAATAATCACTGAGTTGGTATAAATATTAATGTTGTATAGCATAACATCAGCTATATTGACAAATAAACTACTTCGCTTAGGAAACATTATAAACCTTTTAATGGTCGCCTTTTGGGTCAGAGAGCTCTAAGAGTAATGAGCATGAAAATCGAAGTCATTACAGAGAGCAGGGCATTAATGGATCGAATATCTTCATTACCCTTATGAGTCCTACATAGAAATCCTATTTAGATGCTTAAGCTTTGGGGCTAAATCGTCAATCTAGATTTATGAGTGCACAGCTAAAATCATTTAGACTTATCGGTGTCACGAATAGCGATATAAATAGAAATATATTTTTTGATTACGTGGAAAAGATTAAATTACGATAAATAACTTTTTTTTTATTATTTTAGAAGAATAATGATAAAATTTTTATATTTCACGTAAAAAAGTTATAACTTTTTTTAAAAAAAAGAGCATTAGAGAATTTTACAATAATAATAAAATATTTTCAAAAATTTATTTAGAAATTTTAAAAATCTGATTTATTTAAGATAAATATGTTTCCAGCATCAATATTTGATTATCCAATTTTTTTACAAATTTTAGATGTCATAATAATTGAGTTGAAATATTTTATTCTTTATTTCCTAGATAATTTTTATAAATATTACTTTCTATTCAATAATAAATAAAGTTTTGATGAAGTTCCTTTTATAACTGTTGCGTTTTTAGAATAAAATTGCGTATGAGAAATACAGTGAGCGTAGAAATTACTCCTGCAGTGTCAATTTACAGTCAGTCACAGAAGTCAACATTAAATAACAAGATTAAGACATAATATTAAAAAAAAATTAAATTTATGGCAACATTACACTTTATAAATTAAACAATATTTAAAAAAAGTAAGAAATAAAAATCAGATTATATATATGCAAAAAAAAAAAAAAAAAACCTACATACAGAAGGTATTTTTGTAGAATGACACATAATTTCACTCTTATTTATGCAAGATCTGAAAAGCGTAGCACATCGTTATTGAAAAAGAATCTTGAGCACGCGTTGAGTCCAGTTAAAAAGGCGCCAATACAGGGTGTGTTGACGTTTGGAATTTGATGATTAAGTTAAAGAGAAATAAACAATTTAAGCTGAATTTGCAAAATTTTTTGGAAAAAATTCGATCTACTTTCCAAGCTATTATAAGGAATGGCAAAACAAGTGGGCATGCTTTAAACAACTCTAGCACTGGACAAGGAGTTTGGGCAATAGGGCAAAGATAAGATAAATGTGGTTAAATTCGTAATTGTTCGCTCTTCAAATAATAAAATGTTTTGCGGAGACAACTAGTAAAAGTGTTAATAAGGAAACAGTTCGAAATATCCTTTGATCTGAAGGATTTCACTGCAGGGTTTCGTGAAGAAATTATCTCATGTCCTGAACAAATCAAGGAAAAAGGCTGACCTTTGTTAACGAATATATAAATAAGCATTTGGATTTTGGATTTTGAAAAACTTTCCTTTTATTGACCAGATGTTTTTGAATGTGATGGAAACGGCAAATTTTGACGGGACAGAAACGAAGAATTGAAACTCATGTATGTCATTTCAACAGAGATGCATGGTGAAGGAGGTGTCTTGGTTTGGGAGTCAATGTCTGCTGCTAAGATAGGGAAATTAACCTCAATTGAATGTACCATGGATCAATTCAAATACTTGAAAATATTACAAGATAATGTGTAAGTATCTGTTGAGAGTTTACAACTTGGAAGCCAGTGGATCTTTAAGCATGACAACGATCCAAAAACCACAGCGGAGATTATTGAAGAAGGGCTTATTTACAAAGTACCCTCCCAAATTCATACCCCTCCTCAGTCGCCAGATTTGAATTGCATCAAACATGTATGGGAAGAACTGCACTGAAGAGTTAGAAAATACAGTGTCAGAAAAAAGTTTTCTTAAAAAAAGCTTTGTTCTAAATGCATTGATGATCTGAAATTTCGCCAGATATCGCACGAAATCTTATTGCTTAAATACATAGTAGATTACAAGTCACCATTGATTCACATGGTCAACTTACATGTCATTAGCCAACGGCCGTACCATGCTGAATATACCGGTTCATGTTAGATCACCGAAGTTAAGCATCATTGGGCGCGGTCAGTACTTGGGTGGGTGACCACCTGGGAACACTGCGTGCCGTTGGCAAATTTAGGACCTGAATAGCCGAGTGTCTAGCGCTCTGGCGCTCTGTGCCACAGGTTTCGGGTTCGAATCCCGGCGGTGCCATGGATGCTTGTAGTGGTTCGGAATCCACTTTAAGCCGTAGGTCCCGGTCTTCTATGACTGTAAGAGCGTCACGGAGCAAAAGTAAGGCTTCTACCTACGGGTGCTCCATCACAACAGAAGCTGCTTCCTTCCCCTTCAATCATGAGTTCCTATGGGCTCGTGGGCTTGGCCAGCCAAGTGGGATAAGAAACAACAACAACAACATGTCATTAAAGTATTACCAATTGTATAAGTTATGCTTAATTTTAATTTTTCTTGAATTGTTTGTACTCTAATGTATTATATGATTTTCGTTGAATAATTCATTTATCTGTTATCGGTTTGAAGTGTTTTTTTTTACATAAACATAGCTGAAGACAATTTGCATTTTCAATATTTTTTTATATTTATCTTCTCAGTTTTTATAATTGCATAAAAATATATAATTTTTGAGATTCTATGTTGACTTTTGTGACTTACTGTATAATGAAAAATATTTATTTAATCGAGACTCATTTCATGGAAGCAGTTATCATAACTACCAGAAACTATTTGAATCTGTTATTTTAACATAACTATCAAAATATATATAAATATTTATTTAACAACCAAAAACATAAGACGAATGAAATTGGAAGGAGTTAAAATATTTGTACACGTACAAAAATATGCTTATTTACTTTCGTAAATTGCATTCGTTTTAAAAAGTAAAGGTTCAGAATATCTCAGAAACTTTTTACTTTGTATGTTGAAATAAATATTGAATTTGAATTTTGTAGCTTTGAAGTAAAAACAAGATGAGTAAGGAAACATTTGAATACTTCCATTTCCGAAAGGAAATGAATTTTATAGCTTCGTAAAGATAGTAAAATATTAAATGAAATTTTAGTTTCATTGGTAAACATAGTTCTGTCATACAGTCTGTAATTTAAAGAAATTGATTCCTTTTTAACGTTTATCAAACATGCTGTAACCAACCGCAACTAATCAGCTCTTATGATCGTTGATTTGTTGTTCGGAAATTGAAAAAAATTAGTGCTTCTAAAATTTGCACCAACGAAAATTAGCACCATTGAATAGTGCTTTTAAAATAGCAGTTCAGCTTCAAAACGTTGGAGTACAAGTATCAAAATGTATGATAAAAATTGTATGCAGAGAAGCTAATTTCCAAGGCTGATTTGTTAAAAGAAAAAATTTTGAGACCGAGACGAAACATAAACAATGTTTAGTTTTTGCAAAGAAAAAAAAATCTACTTCATGATTTTAAATTTTGGAGAAAACCTTTCTGGGTTGAGAGTAAGTGCAATATTTGTGAATCTGACAGAGCGAGAGAAATGTGGAGAAAATTCAGCACGCAAATACATCCAAAGAATGTTCTTTCAACAGTCAAATATGGAGGAAGTTCTGTACTTATTTAGGGTTGTACGAGTGACTCTGGTATTGAAAATTTGGACAAAACTGATACGATAATTAATCATAACATGTACATTAATACATTAACAATTTATAATCAAAGTGTTGAAAATATGGGACTTTTGTTTTCCTACATAATAATAAACAGGACTAAATACTGAGCTTTAGTTGTTATATAACACGATAAAATTTCTTCAATTCTTTCTACAGACGCCGGATATCAATCTTACTGCACAGTTTTGGGATGTTTCAGATAACAAATTGAGATTAAAATTAACATCTCAAGCAAAGGATATTTAATAACTGTTCTACAAGAATCTATTTCAAATTCAATTACTTCAAACTGAACAATTCCATGGCATGGAGACTGTAAGCTATTATAAAGTAACGTTTATTTGCTTAAAATTGTAAATTATATGCAATAAAATTGTAATTTTTTTTTTTACTGTTTGAATATTTCGTACACATATAAATAGCTTATTTGATTTATATGATATAAGTGAAGAATTCATGTATTTTAATTAAAATAAAATTTAACAGACCACATAAATGCTTATACATGCATAGTTTCGTTCAAATTTTTACATCAAGAATTGAAATTCGGGCACTTTTTAAATGCAAATAAAGGTACAAGATTGTATTCTACTACCTCACTGTATCTATCTAATGAATTGGATGATAAATTTTTATGCTAGAAACGATAATCTCCCTATTATAGTTTTAGTAGCTTTTCGTAAAATAAACAATTTATAAATTTATAGTGTAAATGTTTTAGCTTAAGTGTTTTAAAATAGAAATTCACCAATGATAGAATAATTTTCTTAACAAAAATATATTTTATACGCTAAGCAATTCTCACATTCTATCTAAATAAATGCGTAATTTATTTTTTCAGGCTTAATGCATGTTTTCATATGTAAAAATAAAAAAATAATGACATCATTCAAAAATCATGTGAGAATTTTTGGACAGATTAAAATCAATAAGAATGATGCAATAATAAATTCTTAATAAAAATATATTTTATACCCTAAGCAATCTCCTATACTATCTAAATAAATGAGCAATTTCTTTTTTCAGTCTTAATGCATTTTTTCATACATAAAAATAAAAAAATAACGCCAACATTCAAAACATCATGTGAGAATTTTTGGACAGATTAAAATCAATAAGAATTATGCAAAAAATCTGCACAGAACCAAGCCAAAGCTTCAAAACCTAACACATTGCACTTTTGAAATTCCGTAAAAATCAATACGGCTTATGGCAGTCCGTGGGGGAAAATGGTAACGACAACAATCAACAGAATGGCTGCAAAGGTTTGAGAGAGTCTGGAATAAGGGGACGTGCAAGAAAATTATAGGAAATAAACACAAGACTAGAAAGTCCAATATTTTCTATGATTAATTTGTTTTACCAACTGAATTTCTGCATCAGTTTTTAAGCCTTGCATAATAATTTGTACTATTCAATGTCCTTGAATAAGACAAAATAAAAATATTTAATCTATGACACACAAAAAAATTTTCATAAGGAATTCATTTTTTTGTATTAGTTTAAAAAGAAATATTATAATTTTTATAAAAATGTTTGAAAATTCAACTGGCGTAGGTAATTAAACTCAACTGGCGTAGGTAATTAAACTCAACTGGCATAGAAAATTATAGGAAACAAACACAAGACTAGAAAGTCCAATATTTCTATGATTCATTTATTTTACCAACTGAATTTCTGCATCAGCCTTGTATAATAATTTGTACAATTCAATTTCCTTGATTAAGACAAAATAAAAATATTTAACATAGGAACACACACACACACAAAAAATATCTTAAAAATTTTTTACATTTTTTGTGTTAGTTTAAAAAGAAATATTATAATTTTTATAAAAATGTTTGAAAATTCAACTGACATAGGTAATTAAACTCAACTGGCATAGAAAATTATAGGAAAAAAAACCCACAAGACTAGAAAATCCAATATTTTATATGATTAATTTGTTTTACCAACTGAATTTCTGTATCAGTTTTTAAGCCTTGCATAATAATTTGTACAAGAAATATTATAATTTTTATAAAAATGTTTGAAACTTCAGCTGGCATATGTAATTATTGAATTATGTCATAGTTGTGGAATAGAATGAAAAATTACACATTTAAATTTTTTTGAAGCATTATGCAATACATGTTTATTAAACTATGAAATATAGCCTTTGACCTTTCATTTCTTTGACCTTTGACCTTTGTTTGATGATAATTGATATTTAATTTCTGTTGTAAAGTATATGGGTATGCAGATTAACAAAAGACGTTAACTTAATTCTTACAGAAGATTTAAAATATTATTTGTAGAATTTATAAATTTTGAATGATAAACTGAGAATAATCAATGTTAGGATTAAATCTGTAGCATGAAAATAAAAGTTTGCAAATAAATTTTTCTTTTAATAAATATTTACTTTATATCTTTAATTCAAGTTTTCATCAAAAATTATTCTTTTCGTTTATGTACACAGAATTCAAATTGCACATCTCCTTTTTTGTAGAGAAGAATAATCTGCTAAGATTAATCTTTTATTTGAATCAGCAGTGAGTCTCAAAATTAATTTTGAGTAAAAAAATTCAATTTATATACATCATATGCGTAACATTATTAAACTACTAGAAGGTATGTAGTAGGAAGCCATAAGCATATAATTTTATATGTACTTTAACTTGAATAGAACTTGTTCCAAATATAATTTTAATACTGTATTTTAAGTTCTTTTGTTAGACTCTTAAATTAATTGGATTATTGAATCCGTATAAAAATTAACAAGAAAATATAATATAGTTCAAATAATGTTACTTATTTCAATATTTCTTCTCCACTTTTAATCGAATATTTAACCAGATAATAGGTCAATTCATTCATTTTTCAAAAATTCCTTACATATGTAATGAATTAAATTTTTTTGTCAAACTTTTCCCAGAGAATTTACAGTTTTTTTTTTTTCAGTTCAGTATTTATTAATACTTAATTAGCATTAAAACTGTGCTAAGAAAGTAAAATGTTAACAAACATTCTGAGTAAAAATTCTTTATTTGAAATTAGAAAAGCTTAATTCATTTTATATTCCTTTGAAGCTCAACGTTTATCAGTTTACTTTAAAAAACTATTTAGTATACAATTTGTTTTCAAAAATAATAATTTTTCAACATTTTTCAACTATTAGTTTTGAAATATGTTCGTTTACTATTCAAAAAGGATAAAAAGATTGTTTAATTTCTGTGTTAAAATATATCTTAAAACAAATAAAACATTTTTTTTTTGTAATGAAGAGGAAAAACACATTAAAATTAAATGACTTAAAGGAAGAGTTAAATATATTTATATAAATTTTAATGTGAATAACATTGGCATTAACTAATTTAGATTAAATATCTAAAAATTCAATATATATAATTAAGATTTGATCACAAAGTAGGAAAATTTAAAACATTTAAAACAAAATCTCGTTTTCATTATATATATATGTAGTTAC